TAGTTTCCAGTATCTTTGACTAAATATGCGCAGGAATTAAGCTGATAACCTATTGCTGGATAACCCTTCTAGAGATCGATCAAGATGGTTTTCCCAATTCTCAAGCTTGGCGCATTGGCGGTCAAAACGATGAGCAAGCCTCTAGCCAATGCGATCAAGCGGAGAGCCAAGAGCCATCCCAAATTCCGGGGAACCATTATCAACTTCGCTCAGGTTGGTTATTGTTCCAGTTTGGCGCATTCCTACCTAGACTTGAAGCTGATTTCCAGGTTTTGCTTATGGTTGAAACGGTGGCTCATTGATCCCTGACAACTTCCGTAGCAATGTTTTCCCGTGTTAATCGGGTTCCGCACTTGCTCCCACCTTCTGTTTCACTAATTGCATCTCCCGATCTCATCGTTTCATTGTGCAGAGCTATCATAAGATCAACGTAGGGATGCAGCGCAGACTGTACGGTTACAGCACGAACGTGGACATCAAACCGCTGATCGAGGAGAAGGCGGTGGAGACTGCAGCAGACCTCGTGGGCGAGCTTGTTGTTTTCGGGGTGAGTTACTCGCTTGTGGTTGTTGTTGAAGTCAGCTGGTGTTGCTGATGACCTTCTTATGAAAGTTTGTGGTTGTTGGGGATGTTTGGTGTTTGGTGGAGTTCTCAAGTACTGGGCGATGGTGCCTTTGTTCTTGCTTGTGTGCTTTGTAAGTAGTTTGTATCGTGAGCTGGGAATTGTTGAGCTTTGTGAGGCTGAAGTGTACATATACGATTGACGGGTTGTGAAATGACTGAACTGGTTATGTTGTGCTTGTGTGATGAAAGCGTGCTCCTTGTGTAAAGGATAAAATGTGATAGGGGTGTTCCTTTCTCACAGTGGCGTTTATTGTGGGACTCTGTCATGCAGTGGATTGGATTAGCTGGTTCATGTGTTTGGAATGCAATCTCATCTGTTTTTTTTTTGCAGGTGGCTGGCGGCGTTGTTGTTGCAGAGTACACAAGAAGCTCAATAGCTGATTCAAGGAAAGAGGAGAAGAGACGACAGGAGAGGGAGGTGAGTTTTGAAATTCAGTGTCTTTGTCTTAAAATGCTTGCATTTTACATGATCGCTTCAGGAAGCTTATTCGATTTCCTGTGTTTCTTCTAATTGTCGTTCGCTGCACCCAGGCTCTTCGTCAGAAAGACCTTGAGCTCGAGCGTGAACTGCAAATGCTTAAGGCACGCTTGGATGCATTGGAGAACGCAGCATCTGACAGCTGGCTTCCGCGCATTCTTCGAGGCAGCAATCTTGGGTTGGGTGGGGGCAACCGCAGCACAAGCAGTCCTGCCCAGAAAGATAGTGAATCAGGGGCAAGTGAAGTGGAGGGAACAGAGGTTCATGAGGAGGATGGGTCAGAGGAGACAGAAGAAAAAGAAAGCCACAGCAAGGATGGTTCTAGAAAGAAGTAATAACTGTTAATGTTTATCTTATAACGATGCAGTGCTTATATGTATGCGATTGGCGAAGCATAGTGAAGCGATAAGATTGATAGTGATGTGCTCTATTGCTTCCCATTTTTTGCACCCAATTACTGGTATGATTTTGATTATTCTCAGTAGTATACCTATCGCGTGTTATATGCATTCGGCCCAATTGTGTTGGAAAAGCGTTGACCAAACCCAAAGCAGCCTACCATCGAAACTGCGTCGCGGACAGCGGTAAGGCCAGTGAGTGTGTACTGTACAGTAAACGTGCTGCCAAATTGCACTGTTTCGCATGTTGTCGTTTGACAGCCTGGTTGTTGGTGCCATGCTGAGCGTCGTTTTCAAAGCTGCCGAGGCATGATACACCTGAGGGACAGCCAATCCGAGCAAGGCAACGGTGTGTACCAAGTGGTGGTGGCTGGTTCCCCTTTCAACAGACTGAACCAAGATGTCGACTGAGCCAATGGGAGGCTTTGAAAGGTCTGCAACTATTGGCTTGATCATGTTTTTGTGGTCCGTACTGTATGGCGTTTGGTCTGGTAGGCCAGACCGGAAGCTCTGGTTTGGCACGGCTGGGTACACCCCTCGAACAATAAAGCATGTCTGAGCGAAACCAAGGTTGACGAAATGCTTCGCAGAACAGCTGAACCATTCTGCGACGACTTTTCCTGGTTCCACTCCAACCTCCCTCCCCCAACCTAGACCAACGAACCTCCTTGGATGGGTGGTTCGCATGGTAACTATCATATCTGTCGTTGAGAACCCTTGTATCTACGTAAAGAACCGCTCCGTACCGTTGGAAGATGTGGTTGCTACCATGTATGTTTGTCGGGACTGTCTTTTTTTATGAGGGACATCTGCGGAGGGCTGGAGCCAGGAGGATCATGTCATGGGCCATGGCCGTGCTGTGGTTGTTGGTCATAGAAGAGATGACTGATGCAACTCTGAAGAGACGGAGTGTCGGAAGGGCAATCCCAATGCTCGTGGCGAATATCTGTGGTGTGGTGTAGTGTGTCTGGTTCAAGAATCGAGAGCCTTGGAGGTTTTTGCCGTTGTGCAGCTCTGCGCAAAAATAGTGGTCGAGTGAGCTTCACCTAATCATGGAGAGTTTCAGCTCTGTAGCTTAGAAGAAGGACGTGGGCTATAGCCAGTCCAAAACGACCATCCGCCATGTTTGTCTGCATTTTGCGAAGGATGTGTCAGTTGGTGATTTGTATTGTGATCTGAAAATGCAGCTATTATAGACGCTGAGCCATTCTTATCCTGAAGACGGTCCATGACAGTCCCTGCATTTTCATTCCAGCACTTACTTCCTTCAAATCAAAAGCTCTAGAATCTTAGAGCTCGTTTTTTCCCCCTTTCTCGTCGGCTTTATTACCTATTTATAATTTGAATATTTTTACCAATGGCGATCTACAGTGACAAGCCTCTTTCCATACGCATGGGCGACGCGGCCATAGACGCGTTCACCGGTGCGCAGCCAGTCTCTAAAGTCCTCCGATACTACCCGGAGCACGAAATAGTCGCCATCAGCAACGCACGCGACGCACGAGACGAGTCACCTCCTCCACTTCCCCCTGACCATCTACTCGTTCCGGGCCGCTCGTACCTACTCCTGCCGAAGATTAAACCGAAACCTACCGGCGGAGTTGGAACAGCGGGATTGCGGTTTCTGAAAAGTGCGTCCGTGGCCGTAGGCGAGACGGCGCGCGACGCGAGAGCCGGCGGAGAAGGCGGTGCGAGTTACAGCAGCATGCAGCGCGCTTTACGGAAAGCGGGATCGCAGGCTATGGAACAGTCCGACGTGGATCCGGCGATATGCTCCCCGACAGAGGTGAGAGAGAGCAACTTAAAACCTTATTTATAGAATACACGGAGCAACTAAAGCAGGGTCGCATGCTAACGGTGGAATGTGGATTCAACCTCGTTCTTACAAAAGCTGTGGTAGGTTAACGAAACGTCCGTTCGTCTCATTGTGTTCGGAGCACGGAGAAAATGGACATTGCGTTTATGGGTAGTGCGAGAGAAAACACTGGGGCGAGTTATACCCGGATGAATCTATAGTACAGGCGACAAGAACGTAAGAACGTGCCTCGTGTGTCGAACAAGTGCTCCCGCTGTAACGCGTGATGAGTGGAAAGCGTAGGCACACAACGTTTTGAGATTTCTCAAACTCTTCTGAAAGGCCTCAAAAGTGGAAGGGAAGAGAAGAAAGGGGGAGGGGGAGGAGGGGAGGTCACGCAAAGTTACGGAGGCGAAACCGTCACATTGATGCACGGCATTCCAGCTTGCACGAATGAAAGACGATACTGGAACCGCAGGCACGCAATAACGATTGCAATGGGATTGATGCGGGATGGTTGCGAGACGGAGGGCTAGACGGAAGAGAAACTGCTGAAACGTCTTAAGTAAGGCGGAATCACCAGTTTATCAAGTCCGCCTTTAAACCAGCTGACTCTCCTTACGCACTTCCGCTCGCTTTGTGCCTAATCGCCTTCTCCCGTTCCCCGTTACCCCTTCCGCCTCCCCCATTCTTGTCCCTTCCTTCCCCCTTGTTCTTTTTTCGTCTCCCTTTCCCCCTCCCCCTCTCCCCAGTCCACTCCTCAGGATCCGCCTGCCCCTCGTGCCTTCAAGCCCGCGGCTCCCCTGTCCCTTATGAGAATTCTGAAAAGTTCCCCCTTTTCCCTCATTTCATCTCCCCTTTTCCCTCGTTTCATCTCCCCTTTTCCCTCGTTTCATCTCCCCTTTTCCCTCGTTTCATCTCCCCTTTCTCCTCCCCCTCTTCCCAGTCTACTCCCCAGGATCCGCCTGCCGCTCGCGCCTTCAAGCCCGCGGCTCTCCTCTCCGGTCGTCCTCCCACCCCTCCCACCCACCGCTCCTCCTATAGCTTCTCCTGCTCCCCCTCCCAACCTCACACCTCCACCTCGCCTCCCTCCCACCTCTCCACCTCGTCCTCCCCGCCTCCCCCTCACCACGTCACCACCGCTGCGGGAAAAGGCCTGAGAGCAGCAGAAGCAGCAGGCGGCTCAGGTGAAAACCCAGGCGCGCGGATGGACCCGTGGGATCAGAGCTCAGGTGGGGGGGGGCTCGGGCCATGGAGTGAGCTTGCCGCGATTGATTCTGATAGCTCTGACTCGAGCCAAAATGAGAGCCACAATGAGAGCCACAATGAGAGGCAGAATGAGAGGCAGAATGAGAGGCAGAAGCAGAGTGAGATGCAGAGCCGGCCATGGGGTCAGATCTCGCCTACCGGGCAGACTGACGTGTTTGTGGTGCGCCCCGCCTCGCCGTCAGAGGATCTAGGAACCAGCGAGGAATCCAACGGTCAGGATGCTGCAGAGGCCCCGCAGAGATCGCTGCAGAAATTGCAGCAGCAGCAGAGTCAGAATCAGAGCCAAAACGAGAGGGAGAAACAGGATCAGGATCAGGATCAGCAGCAGCAGCAGCAGCAGCAGGCGCACCCCCATCGTGTGCTGGTCCCCGTGATCTTCCGCTCCCGCCGCGGCTCCGCCCTCCGCTTCCCCCGCTCCGCCTCCGCATCCGAAGCCATGCCCGCCGCCACATCCGATTCCGCCACTGATTCCCCCTCCCCCGCCTCCCTCTCTCCATTCCTCTCCCCCGCCCATCCCTCCCCCCACGCCACATCCCCCCCTTCCCACGGCTCCCCTTCTCCCATCAAAGCCAAATTATCTTCTAAAAACGCATCAAAGCCGTCCGCTAAACCCGACTCCGCCAAGCCATCCGCGCAGCCGTCCGCGCAGCCCTCCGCCAAGGCGTCCGCGGGGTCCCCCCGCGAGCGCGCGCGCGCCAGCAGCTCCCTGCACCGCAAGCTGTCGCGCACGAGCAGCGGAGGAGGCGGGGCGGACGTAGGGGATGGGGGGGGTAGTGCTGTGGGAGTGGGGGGTACTACTGGGGGAGGCGGCACTGGGACAGGCGGTTCTGGTGAAAGCGGTGGTGTGAGGAGACGAGACAAATCAACGGCTGCTGGCGCGTCCTCCTCTTCCTCATCCTCCTCGCTGCCTCCTGTTCCCTCCCCCGCCTCCTCGCCTCTCTCTCGCTCCCTCCATTCCACCAACGCCCCTAGAACGAATCGTCCTTCCTCCCGCGAGGGTAGATCTACCTCTGATCCCAGCAACCTGCTAAGCGCGTCTGAAGCTGCTGCCGCTGCCGCCGCTGCTGCTGGCAGTGCTGCTACGGGTGCTACTGCTACCGGTGCTTATAGCACCAGCAGCAGCACGCACCGACCAAACAGCCGCCCGTCGTCCAGAGAGGGTAGATCTACCTCGGACCCTGACAACCTGCTGAGCGCGGCTGAAGCCGCTGCTGCCGCGGCTGCTTGCTCCATCAGCAGCAGCAGCACTGCCTGTAGCAGCGGCGCGTTCTGTGGCACTGGCAGCAGCACCAGCACCACTGGCACCGCCAGCACTATCAGCAGCACCAGCAGCAGTAGCAGCAGCAGAGGCGGTAGGGTGCGGAGGGGCGTGCATGCGAGCAGTGTGAGTTATGGAGGGGTGGGGCTAGATGGGTCGGCTGGGGATGGGGGCAGCCCGGACCTTTGCTTCGCGAACAGCACTGGTGGTTACCGTAACAGCGGCAGTATTCAACCCAATAGTGGTGGTAACCGCAACAGCGGCAGTGGGGTTGCTGATGCCCCCATGACCTCACACAAGGCGGAGAAGGTGGAGAAGGCAGATAAGACAGACAAGTCAGACAGACCAAAGAGCTCTTCAGGAAAGTCAGGGGATTTGGACAAGTCAACGAAGTCAGACAAGTCAACCAAGGCAGATAGGCCACAGGAATCAGGCGAGTCAGCCAGAGGTGATAAATCCCGGGCGCTTCTGCGAGCTGCCTCGCAGGGGAGGGAGATTGACCGAGCGAGACTGGGCTGTAGCAGCCCTGAAGCGAAGCTGGGGGGGAGGAGCCATACGGAAGGCAGGGAGGAGACGAAGGAGAGGATGATGAGAGAGAGGAAGAAGGGAAGGGGGGGGAGTATAGGCGGGGGTGCTGATTTGGGGGGATTCGGCCCTGAAGCGAAGCTGGGGAGAAGGAGCCATACAGAAGGGAGGGAGGGGATGGGTGAGAGGGTGAAGGGGAGGATGAGAGAGAGGAGGGGGAGTGTGAGTGATGTTGACGGTTTGGGTGGATTTGGCGGTGAGGCGAGCCTTGGGGGGAGGAGTCAAACGGAGGGGAGGGATGAGAATTTTGAGAGGGCGAAGGAGAGGAGGAGGGAGAAAGAGAGAGAGAGGGAGAAAGGAGGCGTGCAGGGTGTTGGGTCACCCGGACATCCCAAGCAGAAGCACCGACCTCCGATGAGTTCTGCCCATACCCACGAGCATGTCCCTCCACATGAGCATGAACTTCAAACTCATCAGCAGCAGCAGTCGGGACATCAGCAGGCTGAGGTCAAGAGTGGTGATCAAGAACAGGAGGAGGGGCAGGATGCGCCTCCCTCAAATGCGCCTTCCTCAGATGCACCCTGCAAGGACTGGTCCCGCAGCATCAGCCTGGCCCATACTCTTAGCAACCCCCATAGCAACCCAGCTCCTTCCCATGCCTCTGCTTCTCACTCCGCTGAGGCTGCTGCTTCTGCTGCTGATGCTGCTGATGGTGATGACGATGGTGATGGTGCCGATTCTGGCTTCACCTGTTTCGATCCTTCCTTTGACGGCATGCTTGCTTCTCATGCTGCCGATTCTTCCAGCTTCGGGGATCGGTCGGACCTTGCTTCCGAACCTCTCTCCAGCTTCCGGCTCGGCCCTGCTGACCCAGACCTTGCGAGCCCCAGGTTTGGTCCGGTGAAGAAAAAGGAGCGTTTCTCCGGAGCTGGGCAGCAGGTTCGGCAGGATGACTCGGAGTTGGGTAGCTCAGGTTCGGAAGCCACAAGTCCGGATACAGGCAGCGGGAGTGATCGTAGCAGAGGCAGGAGCAGAAGCAGACGGAACAGAAGTAGGAGTGATAGTAGAAGCAGGAGCAGAAGCAGGGGCAGTGATGATAATGAGGGCAGAGGAATGCACCAGGAGGATGAAAGTGACAGCAGCAGGCGTTCTGCTAAGGAACGGAGGAACAGTGAGGGGCCAAGCAGCAGAGAAAGGGCACCTAACCGTACCAGAGAAACGGGGAAAGCAGGGACTGCAGACAGTGCGAGAGTGCGGAGAAAGAGCATGGAAGGCAGCGCAGCGCTAGCTAAGTCCCAGGAGGAGCAGGAGCCGGGTGTAAGTGCTGCAGCTGATGTCACTCTGGCGCTTTGGTGCTTAAGAGAGTCTCTTAGCATGCAGCGGCAGCAGGAGGAAGAGGAGAAACTCGTGCGGGGAAGCATGGGCGAAGGTCCTGGTAGAGAGGGAGTTAGAGCGGTTGGAGGGGGTGCAGGGGGTGACGCTGGGGTGCAGGGCAAGGGAGGGGAGGCGGATCGCAACAGGAGCCCTCTGAGGAGGTTTCTCGGCGCCTTGTCTCTTGATATATCCGCTGCCGACGTGCCTGTTGTTGCTGCTGCCCCTGCCGCATTTGGCGGCCTTTATGCTAGTGGATTCCCTGCTGCTAGCGCTTTACCCACTAGCATTGTTTCAAAAGCAGAGGGTCGCAAGCAGGCAATTCTGGGAGAGGGTCAGGAGCAGGTGAAGGGACAGGGAATGTTTCAGGAGGAGCAGCAACACAAGCATCAGCACCCGCAGCAGCAGCAGCAGCAGCAGCCGCAGGCGCAGCAGGGGGGGCAGCTACAGCAGCAGAAGGAGGAGCAGCAGCAGGAAGGAGCAGGTCGAAACCGCAGCCCTATGCGACGCCTCCTGCGTGCTCTCTCCATAGAAGCTTCCACGGAAGCTGCAGCGGTGGTTGCGGCTCTTCAGTCCTCCACTGCTGCCGCTGTGCCTCTCGCCTCCTCCGCCCCCTCTGCTGCCCGCGTGTCCCACCGCTACCCACGATCACAATCCCTCACCACCAAACTTACGAGCAGCATTAGCATTAGCGGCAACAGTATTGGTGGTGGCGGCAGTGGCAGTGGTGGGGATAGCAGTGGCAGTGCTGCTGCTGCTGGTCGCTCTGCTGGTGGTGGTGGTGATGGTGGTAGTGGTAACAGTGGTAGTGGCAGCAGCAGCAAGGCACGAAGTGGTGGTGGTGGGGGTGGAAGTAGCAGCAGCAGTCACAGCCACAGTCGCAGCAGCAGTGCCATTCTCAGCCTAGGAACCAGCAGCAGCAGCAAGCACAAGAGCAGCAAAGAGGAGAACGATGCTGAGCTAAAAGCAGCACTCGAGGCCTTCAGAAAGCGGGTGGAGATGCTAAGTGACACGTGCCACTTAACTTACGCTGCTAATGTTGGTGCGCAAGGGTCGGGAGGAGGGGGTGGAGGGAAGAAGGGAGGCACGTGGAAGCCAAGGCTTCCAGACGTAAAGGAGGTGGAGCAGCCGAACAAGACCCTAGCGGGTTCATTGTCGTTCCATGCGGACAGGCGTAGGGCTTTGTCTGATCAGCTTTCTTTGTGGATCAAGTGAAACACTGGTACTGCTTTGTAAGGCATGAAAAAAGGGCCATATCATATTGCTAGGGAACAATCTGGTGAGCCAGGTGTGTGGACTTCTGTCCTACTGTCCTACTACTGTCCTATGTATCATGCGGTTCTTTGATTTGAGACTTGAGATGTATGGATATGTAGAAAGTTGGTTAATGTTTTGGGAAATACTTCTATGAACTCTGTGTCGAATCTTGATGTTCCATCGATACTTTACCATAAGCTACAAATTTTCCGAATGCGACCTCCGACCCGGATGTCAGAAACGCGTATGGCGTGGCGACGCCAAGATTCACAGCCCTAGCGAGTGGGTGCGGCAGTAATATGATGCCACGTTGTGCGTTCGTGTTTCGCATCGTCTCGCCACTCTCGTCGCTCAGTCTCGAAAAATGTTAGGGCATTCTGCGGGTTCGGAACGGGTACACGAAGTTCGTCTGAGTTACTACAGATTCCTTCATTGTTGGGAATCTCCACAACAGACCAACTTCACCCTCCAAGCAGCAATCCAAGTTCACATATGACGTGGCTAGAATCTAGAATCCGTCTAGACTACAAAGCAGTCTCGCCATTGATTTTTCATACCGCGGAGAATTTTCTAGACCGGGCACGTCGCGCCGCTGGTGAAGGCTGCGAATCACTCCAGGCTGTACATTGGTGCTATTGATTGTGATTCTGCTGTTGCTGCTCCTCTAATACTTTCCTCGTGGTGCAACGCCGTAACTTCTACCCGCTCTCGAATCCCCGTTATGGAGCGTATCGTTATCAGCTCATGCGCGCTACCGTGCAGTGCAGCTTCTGCTGCTGCATCGGCTCCTATTCTTGCATCTACTGCCGGAGACGGCGCTGCTTCGCGGAACGTTCGTCCAGTATCTGCCGTCCATCGGCACCAATCCCATCTGCCACGTGTGCAGACCAATCGCACCCAAGGTCGCCACGTGGGTGAACTCCGCGTCCCCATTGGACAGTAAGTGTTCGTCTGTGCTGTTAATGGTCACAGATTCACCAGCTATTCGTTATCTTGCTCCGTTTCGCTAGCTGCCTTTGGATTCACACGCACAAATCAGGCTTTTGGATAGTATTTTATATATTATGTCATAAGCTGACTTTTGAGTCGACTCAAAAGTCTTTTATATATTATGTCATAACCCATATTAGGTAGAGCCAGAACACAAGCGGTTTGTCTCCCGCTTCACTCATTCTCCCTTCTTCCCAATCCACATCGTTCCCCTCCGTTTGTTCGTATCAAAAGGCTTGCCGCAGCGCGGTTCATACCGTCGTCTCTACACCCCAGCTCCACCCATCGCGTTCATTGTACCGCGTCTGCTGGTAACGCGGACGGAACCGGGTCGAATGATGACAAAGGGGAGGGAGAGGGGGGAGAGGAGGCGGGGAAGGAGAGGGGGGGAAATGGAGAACCTGAAAAGACAGATGAGCGCAAGGACAAAGCCGCAGATGTTACTAGCGGATACGTCACTAGCGAGGATGAAAGCGCGGACATTGTGAGCAGCCTGGGGGATTGGCGGGAGTTCCGCGCGCGCCTGATCCGCGGGGAGGTTGGGGTGGCGGGGGAAGAGCCTGGCGCATCTGGAGCAACGGACGGTGCAGATGCGCTGACAGGTAGCACATCGACGGCTGGAGATCTGCCAGGCTTGGAAGATGTAGCAGCAGCAGGCACAGACGCAGCAGCAGCAGCACCACCAGCAGAATTAGCAGCAGGAGCAGCACCAGGAGGAGGAGCAGGGGTCGAGGAAGCAGGGGAGAGAAGAAGCTATGTAACCTCCCCACTCCCTTCCTCCACCTCTCCTTCCTCCTCCCCCAAGTCATGGGCTCACCCCATAGCAGTGCCCGAGACGGGGTGTGTGCTGCTGGCGCACCCTAGGGCGTTCGGCGTGTCTCAGCAGTACTTCAACCGCGCTGTCATCTTCCTTCTCATGCACGGGTGAGGGCGAGAGAGTGAGGGAGTGAGTGAATAGGGATTGGTTGAAGGTGGGAGTGGGGGAGTGAGGGAGGAAGGGAGCGAGGGAGTAATCAAGGGTTAGTGTGTGTCAAGGGCAAGGAACGAGTCACCCCTTCTGTTGTTCACGTGCTTCCATTGCATATCATACAGTTCTGGCACCCCACCCCTCCCCCTCCTCGCTCTTCCCGCCCATTATCCCTTCCTTCCTCTCTCCTTCCTCCCTCCCATACCATGCCATACTGCAGACCACAAGGGACTGCAGGCGTGATACTGAACAGGTATGTCCCACCCTCCCACAAACCCACCCTGTCACTCCCACCATTCCACCCTTTCACCATCCCTCCATTCCACTATCCCTCCACTCGCCGTCCCACTGTCTTTCCGTATGTATTTTCTCTCCATCCATTTCCATCTGCTCTCTCCCCCTCACCCCACCCCCTTCTCCCCATCCACTCTTCCCCCCGTGCACTCACTCTTTCCGCTTGTCCCTCATTCCACCCGCTTCTCTGTCGCCCTCCTTTCTCTCACACGCCCCTCCACCCTCTCTCTGCGACCCAAACCTCCCAGACCCTCGCAGTACACACTCGGGCAGCTTGCAGGCTTCGAGGAGCTCCTGCCGGAATTTTCAGCCTGCCCGTTATATCTGGGCGGCGATGTCGGCTCTACGTCCACGCACTGCCTGCACGGGGTGGCGGAGCTGGTGGGGGGGGAGGGGGGCGCGCGGGAGGTGTGTCCGGGGGTGTATGTGGGGGGGTACTCGCGGATCAAGGAGCATGTGGCGAGCGGGCAGAGCAACAGCATGGACTATCGATGGTTCGCCAGATATGCTGGTGAGTGGTGCTGCTTGGGTGGATGGGGGCATGTGCAGGTATGGGGGCATGCATGCACGGGGGCATGTGGGGAGCGGGAAGAGCAACAGCATGGACTACCGATGGTTCGCCAGATATGCTGGTGAATGGTGGTGTGGGTGCACGGGTTGATGGGGGCACATGGGGTATGGGGGGTTGTGCGCACGGGAGCATGTGGGGAGCGGGCGGAGCAACAGCATGGAGTATCGATGGTTCGCCAGATATGCCGGTGAGTGGGGGGGTGCATATATGCAGAGATGCCAGTGAGAGAAGGAGAATGGGCGCAGGGGGGTATGGGCGGATGGGGTAGTGGGAGCATGGAAGCATGGGGGCATCAGTGGATGGGGTAATGGGAGCATGGGGGTAGGGGGTGTGGGTGCATGCATGCATGCACGCCAGACCTTACCTTTCTCCCTCCTCTAATCTGACTGTCTTGACTACCACCGACCCTGTGCCACCAACTCCCCTCCCCTTTTCCCTTCCCAATTTCCTTTCCCTCCCCCAGGGTGGGCCCCAGGGCAGTTGGAGCGGGAGGCGGCAGCAGGGGTGTGGTACCTGGGAGCATGCTCACCAGATTCCATCCTGCAGCATCTCAAAGTCCCTTTCTTTCTTGCATTTCCTTTCCCTCTTGCACACCCTTTTATCCCCCAGGGTGGGCCCCAGGGCAGTTGGAGCGGGAGGTGGCAGCAGGGGTGTGGTACCTGGGAGCATGCTCGCCCGACCTCATTCTCAGGCATTCCCTGAGAGAAACTGTCACTGTAGAGAGCGCAGGTGACGGTGGCAATAGCGAGATTGACAGTATAGAGGCTGCAGAGAGGGGTGGTCAGAGCAGTGAGACAGGTGGTGTGGGGGGGAGGAGAGAGGGAGCAGTGGGTGTGAGTGGGAACACAGGGCTGTGGAGGGAGGTGATGGAGTTGATGGGGGGAGAGTATGCTGTCCTGTGTAAACAGGCAGACGGGGAGCTGTAGAGAAGGTTTGTACCATGCGCAGGGTTTTCTTAGAAAGCTTTCGAGGTACCGTAGTGACACAGTGCATGCTGTTACACCATGAGATGAGCAAATTTTGGCAACATTCTGACCTCAGGTTTTGCCTGCTCGTCCTCCTACAAGAAAATCAACTCAGAAGGTGACCTAAGTGGGGTTCAATGAGGCATAACACGATCTAAAGAGGTCAATTCAAAATTTAGGGAGGTTGAGATGAGAAAATCGACCAACAAAAGCCAAATCCTTGCAGACAACTCATACCGTACATGCATTTATTGGCTTTAGGGTGCATTCCTGTGGGGACACTTGTGTCTCAATCCCCGTTTCCCCGAGTTGCGCCTGTTAATTTAGGACGTGGGCCCAATCGGGTATGATCGGCTCTGATCTGATCAGTTCAGATTGCTTGTGATCACTTTGCTCGAGCCGCCCGATCAGCAATGTTTTTTCGTAGAAGTTTTGAAAGCTCGGCAAACGCAGAAGAATTACGCGGAAATTCTCGTCCAACTCTCACGATATTGGCGACTGAACATCACCTGGCAAACGAGTTTGTTTCCCTGTAATATCGTCAACCCCTGGAGAGTTCTCGCCATGTGCCATGCACGAGCGAGGGGTTCACGAGACTCAGCTCAACAGTGTAACATATATCAGGAACACTAGGAGTAGGGCCTAGGCTAAGTAGCCTAGGCCACACGAGTACTAGAAGGTTGTGCCCTAGGGCTAGTGAGAATGTTTACAGAACAGAAATGAATGAAGAAAAGATGATTGCACTAGCAGGCAGGTTGGTACAAATAGGAAACCCTAAAGGGTTGTACTCACTATTGAGTACCCCACTGTAAGCTAGACAAAGAACATATTCTGACACACCCCCATAGTCAAAGTGGGGTATAATCAACACAGCAAGAATTCATAGAAGAAGTCACAAGCACAACCAGAGCTAGAGGCAGTCACAGAGGGCAAGTGAGGAGGAGGAGGGACTGTGAGAGGAGTGGAGATAGGAGGCGACAGGTGAAGTCGCAGTCACACAAGCAACAAGAGTGGCGCGCACAGTGGCTACCGAGCGCACGAGGGCACCGGACTACGGGAGTATCTGGCTCCGCGGCTACGACGAGCGGCAGGAGCAACGGACCCACAGGTGACTGGCGAAGCAGGCTCGCTATGCTAACGAGAGCACGAGGGTTCCAGACTACTGGTGCTG